GAGTGAAAAATGGTAATAATAATAATGAAAGATAATTTATCTCTTTTTTAATAGAAATCATAGTCATTTGGAAGAACTAAAGAAGATGGAAAATCAAAAAAAGAAGACGAAAAATGTCCGCATACAAACAAAGCGTGAGATCTATCCATTCAACGATGAACGGATAGATTATACACAGTTAAAACCAAGCAAAAATAGTTATGTACAAACTGAACTAACAGCGATTACATTTGATAATGAAGTAAAAAATTTTCAACGCCATGTACGAGGTAAAAGAAACAAGATCAATAATGATTTATCACATACGTCGGACACATTAAATTTAAATGAAGAAGAAGTACTTAATCAAACAGAAGAAAGAGTATTAGATGACGATTATGATAACGCTATGGCAGAGATTCGAACAACCGAAGAAAATACCACTGTAGATCAAGATATGAAAGCTACAACTGCTATTACTGATACTGAACCACAAATTAGTCCTATTTTAGGATACACTGACGAGCCTCTATTACCACTTTCTAAAGCATGCAGTCCTCTCAATGAGATCCTACACAATATGTCTTTCTATACTCAATTAGCATTGGATGAAACACCAGAACAACCACCTGATGGATTAACAATTGATGAGAGTGCTGCAATTCGTCTTTATACAATCGAATGGGACAAACCACATCGAAGTCTATATTCAATGCTCAATTATCATCTGAAAAATAATGACCGTGAAGCTCTTCTACCTTATTTCAAATATATTAAACTATTTGTAACTGCTCTTGTCAAATTACCGTGTATACCACCATTGACTGTTTGGCGTGGAGTAACTAAAAATTTGAGTGGAGAATTTCCACCTGGTGCTGAAATGACATGGTGGGCATTTTCATCATGTACTACTGAAATGACTGTACTTGAAAATAATATGTATTTGGGTAATGAAGGTGATCGAACACTTTTCTCTGTTGAAGTTATGAATGGTCGAACAATCAAAGCTCATTCACATTTTGTCACTGAAGATGAAATTCTTCTTTTATCTGGTACTCACATGATTGCACAATCACAACTTAGTCCAGCAGATAATCTATATATTATTCATTTGAAACAAGTAGTACCAAAAACAACCTTACTCGAACCACCATTTCAAGGTATTTTAGATAATCTTCAGTTACGAACTAAATACTAATTGTCTTTATTTACATTCAGGTGCACACATCTATCCCGAAATTAAGTAAACCTAATCTTCATCTTTTCTCACTATTTTCTAAATAAATTATTTTATTATTCTATTTTCTAGACGTCCATTTTATCGAAAGAAGAGATTTATCATTCCATTTTTCTCTTTACTCGCTTTATTCATTGCAGGTGTTATTGTTGCCATTGTTGTGGGACTATCAAAAAGCACACGTAAGATTTTCAACGAACTAAGGTTTTCTTTTAAAATCATTTCTGATAGTTTTTATCGAATTTTATTCATCCTATATATAAAATATTGTGAGTAATACAAATTCTATTCGACTTTTGAGTATATATAATTAACAGTTTAAGTTCTCTGAAATGGCAAAAAAATCGTAGTACATAACTTAATATTATGAATCCTTCACCTCGTTTTATATTTATGTGATTAGTATTACTTTTCATTTCAATATTTCAAGGAAAGTCATACAATAAAGGACATCCTTATTATCCATGTATCATTTCTCATCTACTATAAAATGTACATATTGTTTAATAGAGGAAACGAGTTAAATAAATACATAAAAAGCTACTATTTAATAAAATTTTTAATATCCTCTTTTTTAGCATATGTATGTAGTGATCCATTTCAACAACAAGGTTCTTTCGTGACTGGAAGAAATCCAGTTGCTACAGTTCTAGATCACTTTAGAAATGCTATAGATTTCGATATTGCAGTAGCAAGTCTAGCTGATAATTCTGTTACGATGTTACTACGAAATAAAGATCATGTATTCCAGACTACAAGTGGTATTACTGGTACACAGCCAGTTTCTATCGTTTCGGAAGATTTTAATAATGATGGGAAATTAGATTTAGTAACTGCCAACAACGACGACAACACCATTACTATACTTGTTGGTATCGGAAATGGACTCTTTCAAGCTCCAGTCAACTATACAGTCGGTTCAGGTCCATCTTATTTAATTGCAGCTGATTTTAACAATGATAAAAAAATGGATTTAGCAGTCACTAATCAGGACAATAATACCGTTAGTGTGTTGCTAGGAAATGGAAATGCGACATTTCGAACTCAAATGCAATATGCAACTGATAACTCTCCAGTTAGTTTGGCAACGGGTGATTTCAATAATGATAATATATTGGATTTAATAGTAGTTAGCCAAAATGACGGGACCATTAGTATGTTAGTTGGTAATGGCAATGCAATTTTTCAGACTCGAATTATAGTTCATACTGGTGGTTCTCCAAATTTTGTTGTTGCAGCTGATTTCAATAACGATAAAAAATTGGATTTAATATTTTCAAACCAACTTGAAGACAATATTATGGTACTTCTCAACAACGGGGACGGAAGCTTTGATATAGGAGATACATATTTAACTGCCGACACCCCATCGTGCATAGAAGTAGCTGATATTGATAATGATGGTAACTTAGACCTGGTAGTAGTTAACAGTCAGTATAATACCATCCTTATTTTTTGGGGCAATGGAAATGGAACTTTTGGAGTTACTTATTCGATTGACACCGGTAATGTTCCGAGCTTCGTAATCGCGAGTGATATTGATAATGATAATAAATTAGATCTTACAGTAACCAACAATGGAGATAATACAATCAGTATACATCGAAGTATGGGAAATCGTAACTTTTACGCTCCAGTTACCTTTAAAACTGGCAACTCACCATTATGTACGGTATCTCGTGATTTCAATAATGATAGTATAGCAGATATAGCAGTTGTCAATTCAGATGATAACACTGTTGATGTGCTGCTTGGCGGTACAATTGAAGCTATTCGTTATGTACTAGCCTATAACACTGGTGAATTTCCATGTTCTCTAGTTTCAGCTGATATGAATTACGATAACAAACAGGATCTAATAATGACTAATCAACATGACAACACTCTTGGGATACTAATTAATAAGGGTGACGGAACATTTCAAACTTCTAAAACTTATACGATTGGTCAAAATCCGATTGGTGTTATAGCAGTTGATTTAAATAGTGATAACAGAGCTGATTTGGTAGTAGCTTATGCTAACAATAGGAGCATCAGTGTACTATTTAATAATGGAAATATGACGTTTGGAACTGCCATGAACTACACAGTTGGTCCAACTCCATCGTTTATACTATCAGCTGATTTCAATAATGATAAAAAGCCAGATTTAGCAGTGAGCAGTCAAGGAAATAGTTCAATCAGTGTGTTGCTCAATAATGACAACGGAATCTTTGGTGCTAAAATGGACTATACCACTGGAAGGTCTCCAGTTTCTATGGCAACAGGTGATTTTAATAAGGATGGAAATATTGATTTAGCAGTGGTTAATAATGGTCAAAATACTGTTAGTGTACTGATTAATAACGGCAAGGCAGTTTTTAGCAATGCAGTATCCTATAACGTTGATAAAGTACCATCCTCCATATCAGCAGCTGATTTCAATCGCGATGGAAATATCGATTTAGTAGTAGCAAATAGTGGAAGTAATACTAGTATTGTGTTATTTGGTGATAAAAATGGAGTCTTTGCATCTCAAGCAACATATAAAACTAATAGTTATCCGGACAATGTGTTATCAGGCGATTGGAACAATGATGGCAAAGTAGATCTAGTTGTAACAAATGGCAAGTCCAATAATGTGATTGTTTTTCAGAACATATGTAAAAAATAACGATGTAGCTTCTTATTTATTGTTATCTAAACTAATCTCTGATACTAATTATACATTGTAATAAAATCTTATCTGTCATGTTTCTTTTCTATAATTTAAAAGTGTACTTTTGTATTCATTGTCTGCATTATTTTTGTTTTTGTTAATTTTATATTTATTTTTGATGTCTGTTTTAAGTATTATTTTTATATACGAGTGTAAGATATCAATAATAAGCTCAATATAAATATTTTTCTGGATTAAATCTCGATAAATAGATTATATTTTATATTCGTGTCAACTAGTGACTTAACGACTAAAAAGTAAGAGTTTTATTTCAATTTGATTATTTTACAGCTTAGAATGTTTGAGTTCTTAGTTTCTCGTTTCACAAATTTAGACAAAATCAATTGATAAACTTTTTTATAATAGAAAGAGTCAAATATCGTTTGAATTACATTCAATATATGATATATACAAGCAGAAGTGGAGAATCAATTTTCCACTTCATTTTCAAAGTGTATCACAGATACACATTTCTTTTTATTTTCATTATCAAGATATATCGTATATAATACAAAATAACGAAACACATTGAGTCTTTGATATTATATTTAGTTTAATTGAGATATCAGATATGGTGTATAGTAAATGTATGTGTGACTATAATTTATAAGACGATCTAACTCTTATTTAGCTATATTAATATTAATTGATTTAAAAAAATATTGATTATATTTTTGCATTCCTTTCTCCTTGTTAAAATTTAGTCACCTAATATAATTCAACGAATATCGTGAGTATATATCAGGTAAATCACATTTTTCTATTACCTAATCTGTCAATCATGATGAATAAGTTAGTGGCATAGTGTATTCCATATTTTCTCGTTACCGATAATACTTATATATATATCAATAGTTATGAAACATATACTATTGTTTCAAGCTAATTTTATCTATTTATTGGAATAGTAAAATATTTCACAGAGAAAAAAAACCTCAAATGAGTTACATATCAAGTATAAAAGAAAAGTTTTCCTGGATATCAGATAAAATTCTTCTGATATATGTATATACATAATATACAACGAACTAAAAATCATGATTTATGTAGATATTAGTAAGTTAATAATATATATATATATAAAGATTAGAACTTCGATTGTCTTTTTATCGATTTATTATAAGTGGAACGTGAACTTTCTTGTAACGATGAGACTAATTGTTGTTCTTCGTTTGCTAACAATGTTGATAATTGTCGCTGTTGTTGTGTATTATTAAGTTTTGTTTTAAAATATTGTCTCCATATGAGAAGTACTATCGCTATAATGAAAAATATTACGGCAAACAATAAAAAAGCATAGGCTTTCAACTCTATTGGTTGATTCCATTGCCAACCCCATTGAATAATTGATGTTTCGTTTCGTGAATGATAACATAAATATGTTTCATTGATCTATAAGAAATTAATAGATAGGATTTAAAATTATATAATTGAATAATACTTTATATTTTCGAGCTGTAGTCCATGCCCATCGTTCTGATCTTGTACCAACTGATTCTCTTAAAAAATCATCGATTGTTTCATTTTTATATATGATCGTAATATTCCAACGTGGAAAATAACTTTGTCTTTCATGTTTTACATCAAATGTTTTAACTTGACAATGACGAATAATTAATGTTTTAAATTTATATAATTCTTGTGAACCAAAATATAATAATAAACAACCCAAAAAGCAACAAATACCAATAAGTATTATAATACAGGAATTTTGATCTTTTAATAAATGTTGTTTAGTTCTTGAAGAAGGAAAAGATGTTAACATGTTTTGTAGATGATATATGTCTATGTATAATGTAGTAATGCTATACTAATGTATGATTATTTTTTTATCCACATGGAAAGAAAGAAAACAAAAAAAATATCTCGGCACCATATGTATAAAGAAAGCGGAAAAAGATATTATTTTTATATTTCTTTCGTTTCTTTATCCTTTCTCTTTCAGTTACAGAATGTATTTTAAAAAGGTGCTTTGACGATTGATGACTTGTATACACTTATCTTTCGATAGTAATTTCTATCGACATTCCACAGAAGATATTTTTATTTAAAACCAATAAAGTTTAAACTATATTTGAATATAATGTTATATTACCCATTTTAAATTATTGATTGATCATATTCTTCTTATTCTATGTAACAGATGTCGTTAGTTAATGATAATATTCTATAATTGAGAATAAGAAAATTATATTAAAATTTATGTATAATTTTTTTTTGTCATAACATATATATGAGATATTTTTTTGGTTAGAATACAATATTAGTAAATGAAACGTTTGATATTCTCAACATGGATTACACATATTTACTGACATCCGCTTAATTATTTTACAAATAATATATGTATGTGTATGATCATTACCAAGATTAACTTTAGATGACGAGATGTTCATGGTTGATTTGATACTTCTGTACAACTAACTTGAGAACTTATATCAAAACAATCTAAAATTACCATCATATTGAACAAAATTTTCAATCTTTATTGAAATGCTAGTTTTACACGATATTCTTTATATATAGCTTTTATTTCGTTCCAATGGTGTTATTGAATGAGAAATATGGCATAGATTATTGATTTAATTAAAACAAAGAACAGCAGGATTTATCGAACATCTCAATATGACTATACACATATAATAACTATGTATAATTATTTATACAAATAGGAAATGAATTTATAAATATCTAATAAGGCATGTGGTGTATTAGAATTATAGTAAACTCTTGAGGGTGTGGGTATGGGTGGGATAAATATCGTACTTCCACACAACCACATCCTCGATATATTAAACAATACACAGATGATCAAGTAGAATGTATCGTATGATGTATTGTTTGTAATTTGAGTATGTTACAATGTAATCCTTTTTTTTGTCATATGAAATACATTTGCAGTAACTCGAAAGTTTATTAATCCATTTGTGCTCTTTTTCTTCCAGTCAAGAAACGAAACAATTTGTTTATAATCTAAATGTACAAGATTTAATCTTTAATTTTCTTTATTTTATTGTATTTGACCAAATAAGAAACCAGGGTAAACGAATCATTTTTTAATCTACTGTGTATATAAATATATAACTCAAATTACGTAGTTGATATTTGGCAAGATCAATCAGTGGACTCTATTTTTCTTCTTATATATATATTTAATCTGTAACCTAAAGAATTTCATCTTTTTGTACATTAACTGGGTTCTACAAAAATGTAATTAATTTTCAATCATACTTTTCCAACAAATTCTATATATTATATCCTTGAGAGAAGTCAGATTATTTGATAGTCATTATAATAACTTTCGATTTCAATTAAGATTACTTCTCTCTCTCGTAAGAACGAAAGTAAATGACGATATCTATCACTCCCGCACAATAACATATTTATTCATAACGATCAGTATACAGTGATTATGATCAGAATGTTTGTAATAAAAAAAATATATTGAAATTTTTAGTGGAATTAATATCCAAATCATAATATGTCATACTTTTAATATCTTTCGTTTTTTTAATAATTAAATGAATTCTTTATTTTGAAAAATAGAAATAAAGCATAGTTAATTTTTATTAATAATAAAAATTACAGACCTATGTATTGTTGGTAATAAATTTGAAGCTTCTTTTTCTTATTTATACAATTAATGAATATTGTAAATTAAATTATACGTTTATACATATTTTACTTATTTTCACGCTATATACGAAAAAAAACGTTAATAAACTATTGTTGTTATAGAACGAAAGACAAAAAATAAATGCTCACACATGCCTTGTATCTAATTATTCTCACGTCTTATGATATTATAAACGAAACAGCTAATATACCACGTTTTTCTGTTTATTATATGTGCGAGGGGTAAAATATGCTGTTAAGAGACACATCAATTTCCTTGACTTATTTTTTCTCGATAAAAGAAATCAAATATATATCTTAGTGAATAGTCAATAATGAGTAAATGACTAAAAAGTGAGATGTTTATTTCAGTTTGAATATGATATGTACAGGATGATTCATTTGTTTTAATTTGTTGTATCTTTATAAGATTTCCGAAGTTTTTGATTTCTATATAATTAGATAGAGCATTGTTATAAATCAATATCTGTCTTTTTTATCAATGTGATTTACACATCTATTTGTTTCGCTGACGATGTTATAATTAAAGACCATTCATCTATAAATCACCAAATTAATATATAAATTGTTACTTACTTATACGCATTTAAGATGTAGTTCACTCTTAAAACCTTTTATTATTTCTATTGTAAGAATTGTATAACTAACAAAAATTCTCTATAATTTTTGATAGACTGAAATTACTCAGTTGATTTTAGCTAAATGTTTTTACATGTATCTTTTCTCAAGCCAAAATGGCTATATTATTATTATTATTACAGTCTAAATGCAACGAAGCACCACCTACAGTATGAATCTGATTTTAAACGAAAAATAAAAACATAGTTCAACAATGAGTATATGTCGCAGGTGAATTTAGAATTTAGTTGAGATTGGAATTCTCTATTATAGCATAAATGTTGTGATAAAATAATTTATATAAATAAAGTTTTTGTTGTTGAGGATATAAGATTATTTGTTTGAGTATGTAATTAGAAATGCTTCAATCTTTTTTTTATCTTCATGAAGAAAAAAAGATTTATAAGAGATGTTTATTATTAATCGTCAGGACATTGGGACAATATTATTCTCATTTATCTCGTTTAAGAAAAATGATTTGCAATAGATGTTTGATTTTTTAGAGCTCGGGACATCGGGACAATGTTATTTTTTTATCTTATTGAGAAGAAAAAGACTTGCAACAGCTGTCTGATTTTTTTAAAGTTCGGGACAATGGGACAATGTTATTTTCTTTATCTTATTGAGAAGAAAAGACTTGCAACAGCTTTCTGATTTTTTTAAAGCTCAGCACATTGGGACAATGTTATTTTCATTTATCTTTTTGAAGAAAGAAAGATTGGCATGAGGTGTTTTGTTTAGTGGCGAGAAAATTGATTGATTTTAGAAGTTTCAATGATCAGAAAGTTTTTTTTCGTTTGAAAGAAATATTGTTGTGATTTTTCAAATGTCTGAGAACTAATATATGTAGTGTTCCGAGGGTATTATTTGATTAGTAAACAAGTTTTGTACTGTAGGTATTGTTTTTATTATATTATCTCTTTTGTATCTTGCTCGCCTATACATAGACTTCGAATAAATGGATGGGGAGGTATTTAGATAAGATATACTAATGAATATATTTCGTTGATTGCCAAATAAATCTCTAGCAGTATTTAAAGATTTGAAGATCTATATAATTAAATTCGGTAGCTACTTAAATCCTTGTTAGTTCATTAATATACTATGTCTGAAGAGCAATTATTTAATTCTGTAGTACTATTTATAGATTAGTATACCTATTTAAATATTTGCTCGACATTTAAACTTTAGTTTTTATTTTCACGAGTAGCTATTTGATCATAAAGTGGTATTTAATAAATCTTCGTAGTTATTTAGAGATTTTCCAGCTATCTAAAGTTTGAAACCTATTGAAAATTGTATTGCTATTTAAATGAGTGCTATGTATTTTTTTGACGCTAATGATTTTTTTCGAGCAGGGGGTTCGAAAAAAATGATTTTGCATTTTGTATTTATTCAAAGAAAAAGAAATAGATTTTATGTTTCATAGTTAAACAAAGATACGAACGAATGAGATTATTTTATTGATCGATTTTGCTATGTGAATAAGATTAGATTGCATATTCAGTAACGTTTGCCACACCATATTTTGTACTTCTATAAAATGCAGATTTTTTATTGTAATTATCATGAGACATGAAATATATATATGCGTATTTATATACTGGTCTTGAACGTAATCTGAACATTAATATATAATATTCTCAGCTACTTTCAACTAGAATTTTTAAATCTACATATTTGTTTTGCAGTGTAACGGAATGAATTTTATTTTCTTATTTGAGTAATCATAAAGCTTTAATCCGAGCAAGGGGGGCAAAAGAAAAGATTTTTTATTTTAAAAGTTATGTAAATAATATTGAGATATTTATTTTGATATAAAAGAATAATTAAATGGCTACGTCGAAGCGCTAAAAATAAATCTTATCATGCTGTACTGCAGCAAACTCTACAAACTATAGTTAATCGAACTAAACACTGGTATTGTTATTGAAAATTCATCTTAATAAATTCAAAATATTTCGAAAAGAAAATTTAAAATTTTTACTTGATAATGTAAAAGTCAATCATAGCATTAAGTTGATAGTTTTAATTATTTTGTATATAAAATAAAACAATTTAAAATACTGTTTCTCTTCTTTTTTTTCTGCTATCTTTATTTTATAGAAACAATTTCATGCTATTTACATAAATTTAATTTAATTATGAGATTTGAATTCTTTTTTTTCGTTTCTCTTTTTTCTCTTTTATTTCTATTTTATCGATATTTAATTAAATCTACTATTCCAATGTCAACTGAATTCTCATGTCAACTGTGACATATATATTTTGAATTCTTCCTATTATATGTTTTTTTCTAATCCATTCATAAAACCAGTTATTATTCATCACATTACATTCTATTTTGAAGGATGCTGATTAACACGTGTTATATATTTATGTTACGCCGTTATGGTTGTTATTTATTGCAATAAACAAGCAATATTTTCTAACTTACTTCTATTTGATAAATTCGTATTTCTAGCTGGTGTTGAATATGGCGTCTCGTCATAATAGCTATGTTAGCACTTCATCATCAAGTAAGTAATAATGAGGATTATATCTAAAGGAAATACATATTAATAATTTTGTTGTTTTGATTATTTTTATTTTAATACCATACATTTTTCTTCGTCATATAACAAAACTAGGACAGTTTTATCCAAAATCGGCCAAACACATGATTTCTGTTCGGTCATTTTCTCGTATTCATATTCTTTGATAAATAGTTTAAATTAAATTTTTAAAATAAGATAGGAATATATTTAATATAGATCTCCTTCTTAAAACGTCAAATATACTCTGTAATTGCAAGTTTATAATGATAAATCATTGATTTATACTTTTTTTGTAATAATAACATTAATTTTTATCTTATATTGTAGCGTGGATTTCGGAGAATATCGATCTATGTGGTTTGGCATATCCAAAGAAAGATGAACATGCTGAATATACTGGTAGATTTATGAGTAGTGGTCCGAATAAGTCACCAATTACAATAGAAACTACTCGTATTCATCCTGACTCTGATCGTTTCGATCAAACGAAAGATTATATTGGTTTAATATTCTACTTGCGTAAAGGTCAAAGTATATATCAGTTTAATGATAAGGAATATAAGACTGGCGATATTGTAATCAAATCATCAGACAGAGTTTTTAAAGAAACAGAAGGAAAGAAACCGAAAAAACCGAACTATATTCATGGCAGATTGTTTTATACGATTTTTGGTCATTGGAAACATAAAAAACACGGATTTGTTTGTGGTGGATTTTCATATTACGGGAAAAAAAATCAAAGTAAAAAATGGAAGTTTAACTCTGGAACATTGAATACAATGAATCCAAAAAATAACGATGATACTTATCATAATACTGATAGAACATTGGACAATTTTGAAGAAAAAATTATACAGAAAGCAATCACGCATTTATATGAGAATCATCAATGGTTGTCAAAACATCCTGAAGATCGCATACATTTTAAAACACTGTTATACCATGCCGATCCACCAAATGTACATCCTGATAGAGAACTTCGTGGTACTGTCAAGTCGTTTGATTCTAATAGAGGTTATGGTTTTATTGAGTGTATCGGTTTTAAAGAAAATATATTTGTCCATTATTCTGAAATTGTTGGTCAACCTTTTCAACGGCGTTATTTGAACAAGAACGATACTGTTCTGTTTAATATTATTCATACTCATAAAGGATGGCAAGCAAAAAATGTTCGTTCTACTTAACCTTAAAATGGTATTTATTTACAATATGTATCTACAAATCATGGTCTCCTTTACATTTACTTTATTTAGATAAAATATAGATTTCAAAGAAATAGTGACAAGATATTTTATATAAGCTAATAAAATATATATCCTCATTTATACTGAAATTATTATTAGTATTATCATGATTTCTAATAGAATGATTTTCATATATCCAGATCATTAACAACAGAATCAAATTCTGGTTTGAGAATGTCAAATGAAAGATAAATATAATATTCCCGATTATATTCACAAGTACAGTCATCTTGAAATTGTTTGATTCACTTATTTAACTCTTTCATTATGGCTTTTTTTTACAAATGTATCTTTTATTTTTCGTTCTGAAATAGTTTATAATGAGTTTCTTTAGTATAGAAAAATACTGAAAAGTGTTTTAAAGTATAATAATCTCCTAAACAACCTATCACGCAGAGTTCAACATTATAAATATCTGATGAATAAATTGCATCAACTTCTATAGTAGAATTATCTTTAGTTTCATTATCCATTTAAATTTCTTGTGGATCAACAGTTGTGCACGTTGCCATATTCAGAGAAAATTCTTTTGTAATGGATATCAATAATGAAATGTTTATGTGAAAACTTATGTAGAATAATAAGAATTTACTTCGATTTGTGATAATATATATCTAAAGATGTGAATTGTTTCAAGTATGGAATCGAAATTTTATTTATACAAGAGCGTCTGTTGAATGAGGAACGAAATAGAGTATGCCAGAATGTTAAAAATCGGTATGTCAGAACGCAAGGGAGAGAATGTATATAAACAGTGATACGCAGTAATGATGCAATACTATTGTTAGGGTAAGAGAAACATATAGTAGCTCTTCTGATAAGGTCTAAATAAAGTTACATTGAAAATAATGTCGGCAATAATTCAATGCCCATAGATGGGTCATCTGTGACGAAATGGTTAAAGAAAAATAACGTTGTAATAAAGATGCAGTGTGGGACCTAAAACTAGGGTAGTTATAACTCGGGTTATAACTTTTTGGGTTATAACCGATCAACTTTTTGGCCAAAAACTTAATTGAGTTATAACTATCAACCGTAGTTGTAAGTTATAACTACGGTTGATAGTTATAACTCTGGTTGAAAGTTATAACTTATAACTTTAACCAGAGTTATAACTATCAACCACAGTTATAACCATCAAACGCATCAATTTTGTCAATCTTACTAGCATTTAGAGACAAAATTGATGCAGTTGATAGTTATAACTACAGTTGATGGTTATAACTCAGGTTGAAGGTCATAACTGCGGTTGATAGTTATAACTTTGGTTGAAAGTTATAACTATGGTTGATAGTTATAACTCTAGTTATAACTCTAGTTGTAACTGTTTTAACTTTTTACCGATCTTGTCAACTACTAACTTTTTAAAAAATAATTTTAACTCCCACACTGACGTGTAATTATGGCTATCTTGAACTGACTTTGAACTGAAATAGTATGAATAATTAATCTTCAGTGCTGAAAAGGCACATAGCTTTTGTTTCCTCTTCTTTATTATAAGAATAATATATCTATATGATCACTATATATCGCCAAGGATTTTAAGAATTGTTCAATTGTTTTGCTGGTCGCTTTTAAAAAAGCATAGTTTCAAAAAAAAATATACATTAAGAAAAAAGAAGAAAGACAGGAGAACATTACTGATCGATCTTTCACATGATTAAAGGATTTAGGAGGTTCCCATTTGACAAAAGTTGCTAGTTATAACTACGGTTGATAGTTATAACTCTGGTTGAAGGTTATAACTGCGGTTGATA